TACTACTCGGTTACGGAACTGAAAGCTTCAGAGCGCCGCTGAAGTCTCCAACAGGTAATCATCCGGAACAGTTGGCTGTCGCTGATTTCAATAATGATAAACACCTAGATATCATCACTGCGAGCTATGCAGACGAGGTAAGTATACTACTTGGTGTTGGCGATGGAAGTTTCGGACCGCCAACAAGTTTTGCAATTAGCAGTTCTCCATTTGGAATGGCTGCCGTTGATATCAATGGTGATACCTATATGGATATCGTTGTACTAACCGGTTACATGTGTGATACGTTCTTAGGCTACGGCAACGGAAAGTTTGCACCGAAAGTGTCTTTTATTGCTGAACGGGATTCATTAGGACTAGTTGTTGGTGATTTTAACAACGATAACCATATTGATATAGCCGTCACTAGTGTAACCGAAAGGGTTGTGAAAGTTTTTCTTGGATATGGGAATGGAACCTTTCGAACAGCGATTTCTACTTCAACTCTAGCTCAACCACAGGCAATTGCTGCCGGAGATTTTAATTGCGATCAAAAGATGGATCTCGCAATTGCTAGCTGTGGAACTAACAGATTGTATATCTTACGAGGATTTGGTGATGGGCGTTTTGGTGCATCGATGAATTATTCGACTCCAGCGTGTCCGACATACATAGCAATCCACGATGTCAACAATGACAACCACTTGGATCTCGTTATCGCTAACAGAGATGATAATACTTTCAGTGTATTTCCTGCGTATGGTAATGGAAGTTTTGGGACACAACTGGTTTTTCCTACTGGAAAGGACCCGCGCTCTCTTACTGTTGGTGATTTCAATCGTGATGATCGTCTCGATGTTGTCGCCGCTGGCTATACAAGTGGAACTATCGATATCTCTTTCAATATATGTTAATGTCATACCATTTCTCTCGAACACTTTTTTTTTTCAATTCATGAATCATTTTATTTAATCAGTGCTTGAAGTATGCTTACTAATTCGCTTTCCATTTTTAAAATAAAACTATAGATCATCATCGTATTCTCTTGAGAAAAGTTCAAAATCATTCATCTTTGTTCTTCTATTTACATATGTCAAAAATGCTTAGTTCTCTCATAGTCAAAAAGTGTTCACTTACCGTTTTGTTAAAATGAAACCAACTATTGACATGCTAGTCATGTTTTCTACATATTCGAGATTCATTAACAAAGAAAGAATTCATTTTACATTGATAAAGATGATAGAATTCTGCATTAACTAATAGTGCATTCAGAACAAATAGTGTATTATTATTGCAATTCGATGGATTGAGACGGACGATAGCAATCGAAACTAAACTTTTATTTGGCTGTGCATAATACAAAGGAACATGTATAATGCAACTACATACTATATAATTTTATTCTTCAGTCAGTAAACCATTGCAACTCGACTAAGCACAAGGATGGGTTACACCAACGTTGGGACCGATCTCGTCTTCACCGATTTTTACCGCTCTTTATTTATTTTTTAAAGCTATTTTGGGCGGGTGTGGATGCGTGTGACTGTCTCTTCTCTTAGCTGACACCCACACCCTCAAGAAAATACTCATCATAAAAACAAATCTTGATCTTAGTTTCATTTTATATTCTTCATTTGTGTGTGAAACGTTGTACTCCTGTTTGATTTATCAAGTAAATGAGAAAAACTTCTCTCAGTCAACTTCATGAACAAATCAATGTAGAAGCTATTACAGTGTATGTGTCTTCTCATTTATCATTTACATTTACATCCTGTCGATTACTCTTTTAGAAATTTGATCAAATGATTATTACTAATCAATTCTTATCGTTGAAAAGTTTTTTTTATTTAAATAGTTTCTCAAATGCAAAGAGACACAACTGTGATAATCTTTTATATTGAATAAGATAGAAAATGATTAGTTGATGAAAAAATTTGTATAAATATGAAATGGTCTTCATCGAAGTGTCTGAATAGTTTAGAGCAAATTATCGTTTTCACTATAAAACCAGCTTGATGGAGAATATACATCGTCGGTAAGGGCTTGAATTTCTTTCGGCTTTAATTGTCGTGCATAAAATCGAAGGTCATCAACAGCAATGGAACTTCCTTGTGAGAACATTTGTTTTTGATTGAGATGGCACATCAATGAATATGATTGATTTTGAATTGATTCATTGGAAGGATTACCAATCGTTAGCGATAAACGTTGTTCATTGTTTATTTGAAAAGTATTCGAAGTATTCAAAGAACCGGCAAGCACTGCATTTAGATATAAATCGAAATTGTTTATTATTGATACCACTGCAATGTGATACCAAGTCGATTGTCGCATCATTACATTTGATCTAATCAGATTTTGTCCTTGAGGCCCATAAGTGTACATCGACAATTGCATTGTATTGTTTACTAGAATTAATCAATGATAAATATGAACAAAGTTTACAAATAAAAAAAAATCTTTTCGTGTCTTTGAAAAATCCGAGACAAATATTTTCTTGTCAGTCATGGATATTAATCTATTTACGATCGAATGTAATTTATATAGTTTTCTACTCAAATAAAAAACCTTACATGGATCGATTTTGTCAATAATTAGCATTGCCAAACAAGTACTAATGCTATTCGATGAGGAGATTTCGTCATTCATAGTTATATGTAGTAATATGAGATTTGAAGAAGCATTTGAAATAGAAATCCAAAATGCATATGAATATGTATAATTATGAGTGTAGAGAAGAGCAAAACCCGATGATTGAAAATAAGATAATGAAGAATCGTTGAGAAGAAGAGTACCTTGACCCGTACGTCTGCTACCAACAACACGACTAAGATTTGCTCCTTGTGCACGAATACAATTTGCACTTGAATCGTTCAATAAACTATCATTATTCGCGATGTCGCCTTCGAAACGATAACAAATAACAAGAGTTGCTTCATCAAGTATATCCACTCTGTTTTTAACACGATATGCTATTAATAGTTGATCTATTAGACCATTGTATCGATTAAATTCAGCAGCGCTTCCAATGGTTGTCGTTTCAATTTGAGATTCTCCATATTGAGGAGAAGCAATTGTGCCATATGCTTTGAGTAATCCATCAATACGGATGGCCATTGATAAGTCACTTTGACTAAAAGTATATGTGACATATTGCCATTGAGAGTTTTTCAATTGCACAGATGTTTCAGTATATGTATTATAGACGCGTATTCGAGGACGCCTATCAATAATTCCAACAGCAAAAAAATGATCACCTCCATTCTTGTACCTTTGGGCTAATAAAACAGCAAGTGAAAGTGCAGAAAGATCAGGTTTAACCCATGCACTAATAGTAAACGTCTGATTAGCAAATTTTGGTGAATGCTCAAGTTCGATATATTGATAAGGAATCGATGAGTTCAGTTTTAATGCAGCTCCCTGACCAGAATAGTCAGGCGTGACATAACTGGGTAGCATCCTTTGTAAGGTTTCATTCTAAACAAATAATTAGTTATATCATTTGAATACATCGTTGAAACAAATTCTCCATTGATCAGTTCATCTATTTCGTCTCATTCAAAAAGAATGAGTCTTCTTTTATTGGAATATATCATGCAAAACAAAATAAACGTGTAAGACTTTGTAGATAGATTGGATCGATCGATTTCTTTTAAGAATATTTTGTTGAATGCATATTTTGCGACTACAGTTGTACATCGTCTCTTATCTTTATCAGATATGAAAATAGCTCGTAGTGATACTTACATCTAATTCAGTTTGGGACATAGCAGCAGGGAAACCATTGTATGTTCCAGAGATATCATCAGTGACATTTAAGCAATCGAACGAGTAGAGTATATCCGGTGTTATTATACCAAATTGACGATGAACGCATACTTTATAGAATAAAACAAAATGAATATCTTACTGTGAATTTTTATAATATGGAATATCTCCTAGCATATTCTATATGCTTTCCTCAGTTTTCGTCAACTGGTCTTGATCGGATTGGAAAAGGTACAAAAGAAAAGACACAAATATCATTCATAATAACATACGGACGAAAATTGATTCTATTGAGTGAATAGTTTTTAACTAATGGCTATCATCGAATAAATCAATAAAGAAAAAATATACTTATACTTCATTTTCATCGAAAATCCAGATATGAACAAGAAATACAATACTACTATTGACTAGTATGTTTACGTTGATCACTCACCTGAGTAATATTAATAGAATCAAATTTCTTGCTAGCTTATAGAACTTACCCGGTTCTTTATGATTTATTATTGTTGATAATGCGGGAGTAAATGAGGTGGAAGATTGAAATGGATTTATTCCTCGTGGTTTAATAACAAATATATAAACACATGGTATAATCACAATTAATAACATGGATAACACTGTTATTGATATGAGGATGATAAAAATGATTTTTCTTTGACGATATTGTTTGAATCTTTCGTGTTGATTTACAGGCACAGGAGGACATGACATTGGGTTATAATCGGGATCCATTCAATCAAAATACTCGATTATATACTATAGTAATAAAGAATATGAGCAAGCGACTATTTGTCTTAATGAAAAAATACATCTAAGCGAACAACTAGACAATGCGCATATTTCTTTTTTTCTGGCAGTAGTTTCATATTGCTTGCATTTTATTTCTTAAATTACCTGTACAAGTGCTTCAATTACTTTGGTGTAGAGCTACAAGAAAATGTCTTTTTCTTTATATAAAAAGGTAAACCAGTATTTATCGGTATAGAAGAAAGGTAACCAGTGTTTAATTGTATTGAAAATATTCTACTGGTACTGTCAAATGATTCATCACTTCCGTTTTTCTGTTTAATAATGCATGCAACTTTATGATGACGAAATAACAGTATACAGGTATAATAAAAATGTAAGATTGCCGATTTGTGTGGGATAGAAATTTCGTAATAGATTAACCTAATTGTCGTTTTTAGTAGAGAATGTTATTTTATTTAAAGAGTATTGTATTTTGACTTTCTTTTTCAGATTGTTCGAGAATGGGAATTTCAAATACAAAGAAAAAACCGTGTGAAGAAAAACAAACTGATCAATTGATTATATCAAATGTTGCTTCACGCTGTTCTTCGTCTGTGAATGAAGAACGAAGAGAATCATTTTATTTAATTTGGTTAGATGAATGTGCTAAAAACGAATCTCTCGAATCACTACGTACACAAGCACTTTTGCGAGAAATCAATCATGATAATTGTTTATTTTTTAATCAACCTGATCAATTTTTTGTTCAAATCAGAGAATTAGAAGAAAGACAGCAACAACTTTTAGTAGTAATATCTGGATCGCTTGCTGAAGAACTTCTGCCGAAATTACGTTCTATTGATTCAATACCAATTATAATCATCTTTTGTGCAAACTATAATCAATATGTCTATTTACTTAATAAATATCCAAAGGTTGTTAGGATTTGCACTACATATGAAAAATTGCAAAGTTCAATTAGAAACGAATTATTATCATCAAAATTTAATTTATTTGAAAATCAATTCATCAAATATATTCGACCATTAAATTCAAAAAATGGAATTGAAAATCATAGTGCGTATTATTCATATATATCATTTATACAGTTATTAAAACAAATGCCACAAACAGAACAAGCCAAAGAGAGTAAACCCCCCCCTATAATAGAAGCCCACCCCATATTAGAAGCCCCCCCGTATTAGAAGCCCACCCTAAGATGAGCAACGTGTTTGACGTATTAGAAGCCCCCCTAATTTTTCCAAAATTTTTTAAAATTTTTCATAATTTTTTCGAATTTCTCTGCTAAAGTTGCTAAAAGTTCTCGATTTTAAGGTGAAATTTCGACTAACTCCTATCTAACTATGCTTAAATCTGGAAAAATTGCAAAAAATCTTCTGAAAAACTCATGAAAACCTTGGAAATCTCTAAAAACCTTCCGAATCGGTTTCCTTATCACAGTCTATGAAAATTTTTTGGGACTTAATAGAAGCCCCCTCCAAAAATTATAAACGGTAGCCAAATTAGAAGCCCAGGGGGCTTCTAATATGGGGGGGGGGGGGTTTATGTTAAAAACATGTCGAGATTATTATAGAGGAAATTCAACAGAACAGGGGAAAATCGATGTCTTTAAAAAAGATTACAAAGCAGATAAGGCCATTGATTGGTATGTTGCAGAGTGTTTTGTTTATCGTTTGGTAAATCATGCATTTCGTACTGAGGACATAACATTGTGGTATGCATTTCGTTACTATGTTGTTGATCTTTGTCAACAAATGGAAAAGATTCATCAAGAACAAGCTATTCGAAGTCTTTTAACAGTTTATCGTGGTCAAGCTCGTATGCCGATAAGTCAATTCGAACATTTGAAATGTAATATTGATTGTTTAGTTTCAACCAATGGATTTTTCTCTACTTCAACTCATCTTGACATTGCTCGAAGTTTTGTTGAAGGTGATACAGATACAAACAATTCGAAAGCTGTTCTATTCGAAATCACTGTCGATGGATTTAATCTTCAAAACACAATTTTTGTTGATATTGATCGGTATATAAATTCTTCTGATGAAGGTGAAGGCGAAGGCGAAGGTGAAGTTTTATTTAATATTGGATCAGTCTTTTGTATTCAAGATGTAATACGTCATTCCAGTTTCGATGTCTGGATGATCAAAATGAAAGCAACTGATGAAGGAACAGATGAAATTAAAAAAAATCTTTATGAAAAGAAAAAGGAATTTCGACAAGAGAACATCAATTTATTATTTGGTCGTTTATTAATTGAGATGAATGAATATTGCAAAGCTGAATTATATTTTCGAATGTTATTACAAGAATTACCAAGATCACATCAAGATATTCCCTTAGCTTATGATTATATCGGCGATTTAAATATGAGATCAAGCAACTGGAATGAAGCATTTCATAACTTTAATTTGGGCTATGAAATAAAAAAGAAATTCTTCTCTTCTAATCATTCTCTTATTGCTGTATCATTAAACAATATTGCAAATTATTATAAAGCAATAGGAGATTATTCTCAAGCACTTCAATATTACACAAAAGCTTTACATTGCAACAATGATCAACCCACTATGGCAAGAATTCAAGTTAATATTGCTGTTATTCACGCAAATAATAAAAAATATGGTGAAGCTATTGATTTATGCATTAAAGCACGTGAAATTCTTCAACAAATATATCCTCAACCATACGAAAATACTATTTATATTCAAGGAATTCTAGGACACTGTCATGCACAAAATAAAGAATATTCGATTGCTGAAGATTACTATGTAGCTGCATTCAAAATGAGTGAAAAAGTTCTATCCATTGGTCATCGATTACGAGTTAATTGTATTAAAGCTTTAGCTGATCTATACAAAGAACGAGGAATGAAACAAATAGCTATAGATCTTTGTCAAGACAACCTATTCTTGTACAAAAAATATCTACCTGCACATCATATTAGTATTGCATATCTGTTCGTGAAACTCGGAGAATTATATGAAGATGATGATATTCGAAAGATCGCGTCACTACGACGAGCACTACGTATTTTTGAGAGAAGTCTTTTTATCGAATACGTTCCAACTGCCAATTGTTTACTAATGATTGCAGAATACTACAAAAATCAAAATGGATATGATAGTGCTTCAAAATATTATAATCGAGCTTTAAAAATACAAGAGAAAATTTATCCAAACAATCATTCGATAATACTTCAAACTCAATCTCTCAATGCTACAGGTCAAAACCAAACCTAATATCAACATGATTTTTCGTGATCAATGACTGATCCCGCAAACATACTTTCAAGCTATGACTGATGCTGTACGCCGATCAATAGACATAGTATCTTCTGATGAGATCGATCGAGACTTCGAGTTTTTTACGTTCTTTTAATAAAAAGGGTGGATGTGGGTGTGGGTGTGTATATCATATTGAAATAGTTAATATATTGTTCCGTGATTAAAACAAGATCATAATCGTGAAAGAGAAATCAATAACGGAAGTCCGACAAGACACAGTGAAGCAAATATCTTTATAGCTGCACCTCGTCCCATACCTCCGCTCTCATCTGTAAGATTGTATTTGGCCATAATTTTAATCACTTCAACAACTGTTGAGTTCGTATTGCACAAGTGTTTCTTACACGCTAGCTCTACAGCTGTATAGTTGCTTTCAGAATCATAAACATTGACTGCTATTGTGTTATTGTCGGATTGTTCGCATTCTTGAGACCGAATCACATGTGACCATTGGTTGTAGTCGATCAGACAGCGCCCTCGGCTTCCCGTATTCGAAAGGCATGGACCAATATTTCCACTCGTCAAATAGGTGTCATAATAACAGTTCAACGGAGCACTAGGGAAACTAGATGATGGAGATTCTGTCAACGTTGTTGTAAGCTCTCCGATAATACCAAACACATTATAAGCTCGTGCAATCATTTCAGGCATTCTTTTCTGCAAATACTGAAGAGCACAATCGTCAATAGAATTCCAACAAGAACGTTTTATAGTATACAAAAATTCAGGTCCGGAAGTAATCTGAATGTGGTCAAAGTTGGTGAAAGATATCACGGTTTGATTTGGGAAATGAACAACGTATATTCGACGGATATAATCTAGTGTTACCGTAGCTTCACATGTGACAAGTGCGTCATTACGTTTGCATCGTGTATCATCTGAAATAATGAAAGGTTGATTCATTGAATATTGTAGTGTACATCCATTTGTACATACTTTGCTATCGATGATCTGTACGGCTACCAAAAACGTCAGAAGTAACGTGAATATCAACATCGTTAGAAGAATAACACTGATGTCGATTAATCAACAATGAAAATGAAAGAAAAAATCTCAGTATCCTATAGGTATATAACTTTTCTATTGTTTTATGATATTAGAAATACATAAAGACAAATAAAAACGATATTTAAAAAGATTAGTCAAATACTGAAGTCAAAAAATGTGCTCTCCACCTCTCCGCTTATCGAAGACAAGTAATGTTCTGCGAAAGCTTTTTAACTTTGAACATTCTTACTCATTCGTTAATAAGATTATACAACTATTCTTTCTATCGTTGAAGACAAATACAAAATGCTCGGATTTCTATCCGTTTTATTGTCGACTGGTAACAGAAGAATTGTTATTCAATGTACCACGGGATATGGGTGTGGGTTGTAAATAGATAAAATACCGAAATCCATACCCACATCCACACTCAAAAGATAAAGAACGATGACTTTTGTTATTCTTGAAAATTAGACATAAAGTCAATAATAAAGAAAGATTTTTATTTCTATGAGACTCTTGCCTTATGTCATCTTGAGTTTTCTTCTAAAATACTGGCATATATGATAAAAAATGGTGTATGAACGAGAATGTCTTTTTCTTGCTATCAATGTCATAAAGTGGAGTCCTGTTGGTAGTAAAACAGTTCTTTATCATTGATCTTGTTATAAAACCCATTTTTCTATTTATCTACATAAAAATAAAATCGTTCTTCAGCTATAAACGATTCGTTATTCTATAACGATAAAGATTTTATTAACTTTAGCTTCAAACCATCTTGAAGGTGGGTGTAGGCATGAATGTGAGTGAGTGGATATGTGAATAAACCTTCGTATAATAGAAGCCCCTCCGATATCACAAGCCTTCACGTATTAGAAGCCCCTTGTAGAAAGGCCGATGTGTAAGATATATTAGAAACTCCATGTTAAAAAAAATTTGAGATTTTTTTTCAGTATTTTTCTAGTACAACTGTCAATTTTTGAAGATTTTAAGGTAAAAGTTTGCTTCACTGTTATTTATCAGTACAAAAAAACGAAAATCGTTTAAAAATTGGTCAGACATCTATAGGAAAATCTCTGTCTAAAAACAATGAAAAAGCCATGGACTTATTAGAAGTCCCCACCAAAAATTTGAACCGGTGAACAGTTTAGAAACCTTCGGGGCTTTTAAGATAGAAGAAGACATTATGAGTGGATGTGACTTTGAATGAATCCTACCCATTTACAACCACACATTTCAAATTATTTCTTTCAAAAACTATTTGTTAACGATAACACTGTGATTAAGGATAAAACATTAGTCGTACTTCATTTAAGACCATTCAAATTTCAATATAACATATTTTAAAGGCCTACGAAAACTTTGGATAGATGTTTTTTTACATGAACGTAAACTCTTATAAGTATATATGTTTTAAATGATTTATGAACAATATCTTACATAGATTATTGATTTGAAAAAATCTTCTGTAATTATTATTTATTGAATATGTTTCACTTTTTCATTTTCCTATTATAGTAATCAATCAATCTTTATATAACGTTTCATTCTTATTTGATTTTCGTATGATATTATTTCTATTTGTCTTTCATTTTCAAGTTCTACATTTCATCCTAACAGGTACATTGATTCTTAAGTACCTTCTCCTTTAACATTATTATGATGAAAGAGCTTAACATAACAAAATAAATACATCATGTAATCGGTGGATATTTTTTTTCAAAGATTTTAATTTCGTCTGAAATAAGATATCAATGTCTTTTTCGTTAAAACTTGATATTTTTATTTAAATTCCTACTAATTGAGTTTATTAAAACAACAAACAATAATGAAATTAAAACAAACACAATCACATACAAATGAGAAATCGATATATATATATATATATATATAGTTTGATTTAGATCATTACAAGTTGGAAAGACAAACAGAATCAAGTACAATGACAAATAGCAGCACAAAATGCATTGAATTTTTGGAAGGATTATTTAAATAAGACGATCGAAAAAGACATATTCTAGATAAACACGCATCAGAAATTTCATAGAACTGTAGTAAGACATGACTAAGAAAGAAAGAAAGAAGAAAAGATGATTAATGCGTCAGACTTGATATCTCGTTTAAACAAGCACCCAATATACAAAGAACAAAAAAACTTGACAAACACACACCGGAACAAGAAAAGAAAGAGAAAAAAGAAATATCTGATTTATAATTTCAAATAAGAAATGAGCATTCAAAACAAAGCGAAGAAAGAAATATGAAATGTTTGCATTAGTCTGTCTTTGATATCTATTCACTGTTTTGACTTCAAACAAAAGAAAGAAAGGAGAAAAAAAAATGTTAATTGGTGATGATAAATAGATTTAAACGCAGAAACACCACCGGTGTTGGTCAATAAAAAAAAAAGCAAAGACTAGCACACAAGGATAGAATACATTAGATAGTTTCTTTGTTCATTAAATCACTAAAGATATTTGGTTATGAGATCCATTAATTAAAACCCTCCAAATTTTCACTGTTGAATTATTGCTTAGGAACTAAGTATTTATCATCAGACATGTATGCACAAATTAAACTTTATCATTTTCAATTCATATATGTATGGAAGGAACTCGATAGACTTATTTAAGGACGGAAGAAAAGTTGTTAAACGTTATTATTGCAAACATTCATGGCTAACTACTATTAGAAAGAAGAATTTTTACGAATCAATCACTGGAGCATAAGAACAGTGTGTATATTTTTGGATGAGATATGATTGACTGACTTTTATTGTTCCTATTGCCATGGGATTGCTTGTTGTGAATAATTTGTCCATATATTATTATCAAATGATATTTTCGATTGAAATGGGTTATATTCAATATCTTGATCATATATTGATGAAAAATTTGCTTTGTCTGGAATGTTATTTGGATTTGGTCGAGTTATTGTTGAACGTTGACCAATAATTTTACGTGCGGAAGTTCCATTTGATTGTATAGATGATGAAACTTGTTGAGGATGGATTTTTGTTGAATTTATTTGTTCAACAAGATTAATTGGTTTTGTTACCATTTCAGAAATACGTTCGAGATTCCACCAAAAATCTTTACTTAAACGTGTTATCCATGCACTATCATCACGTAATAAATATCGATCTATAAAATAAAATAATTTCGCATTTGAAACAATGAAACTTTTTTTTTCGTATTTCTCATACCAGCATTTTCAAATACACTCCAGTCAACATCAGGATGAATTAATGAATTTGTTTGATTAGTATAATCTGTTAAGGGATTACCAAAACCTAAGAATATAAATAAAATAAACGTATAATTTATATATTTTTTTTCTCTATACCAGATGATTGATCCATAGTCATCATCATTTTTTTTCTTTATTTGATTTTGATTCACTAATGAATAGAGATGATGATCTAGAGAAATAATAATATGATATATTATATGTACTATGCTATAAATTTTAAAAATCTGTTCCCTATGTGTTTGAATCAATGTATCGTCTATTTTTTGCCCTTTTAGAGTGTGATTATTTTACTCGTCCATCAAATAAATGAGAGAGTAAGAGGAGAAAAAAAAGCTAATCGCAGCAAGGGTTCAACTTACCGGACTGATACTTGAACTGATGGAGCAAGTGTGAGTACGCCTAAACGTTGGTGGTCTCTCTTTTCTTTCACTCAATATGGAAAGAAAAATATGCATAAACATAAACACAAAAAAAAAATCGAGAGAGAAAGAGGATTTCTATGTATGAATGTTAACAAAACAAAACAGAAAATTCAATTAGTAACGAAAAAACAGCAAGCAATCAACTAACAATAGCGTCTGTATCGTATGTTTAGATGAATAAGACACAAAAAAAATGTGTCTTAATGTAGTTACTTCTTTTTCTTAGGTTGGATAAAGAGAAGACACAAAGAAAGAGATGCAAACATATACTCAACATCCTCGTTCGCTTTGTCTAGATCGAGAATATAAGATAGAAAGAGAAGCGAGAAATAAATATCTATCCGCAATCGAGTCGATGATTAAGCGGTATTATGATTCTGTCCGTTTGTTAGTTAAATATATGCTATTTCTTACACATTATATGTATCGATGGTACTGAGTTTTCTTGTCAGCTAATCAAATAAACATCAAAATAAGATAAACTTATATATATATATATATCAATAAAGAAAAAAATATTATTGTGTTATTTACAATATAAAAAGCTAGTTATCATCGATGAAAAAACTAAAGATAGATTATATGGAGTAAAAATAGTTTGTCACATGGAGAATATGAAGAGAGTTGTGCTTGCTTTCTTATTCGGTCAAAGCAAAGCAAACAAGACAAAGAAGAACAACGGAAAGCTATATGAGAGAAAAAGGAACAAAGAAAGAAAAAGGAAAAAAGCTGAATTAACGAGAGAAGAGAAAAAAAAGAGTACAGAAGCAAGAGAAAGAGAAAAAAAATTACTACATAGTTGAGTCTTAAGAAGAACGAAAGACAAAATGCTGAACTCTTCTACAACCAATCAATACATTATATTTTAATCGAACACATTTGACTTATATTTTTGAAAGAATTATACAACTTTTCGTCTACCTTTAAAAAATAAAAATCGAACTTAATATAATTCTTTTTCGACAGAGGACACTATATAACAGAAATAAGAATTTCATACGAGATTTATTATTAAGATAATATTACTATATTAGAACAATAATCAGTTCTTACTATAACAACTAACAAATATTAAAATTTTATATATTGTGTATATGAATGAATGATCACGACTAAAAAAACGTCATATATGATTATGTGTAATAAAATGAAAGAGAGTTACATAATATACTGTTTGCTTTTTCATATATTAAATCTTTTCATTCATGATCACAATCTGTGAATAAATTTCTTTCAATTTACTATTTAGCCTGAAGAGTATTGTGTGTATCCTTAAAATTTCATTATAAATATTATTCAATCCTTTATTTTTTGAAGATAATATTGAAAAGATATGATGGCGATTATTTTAACTAAAACTTAAAAACAAATTTTTCTTTTTGATTAAAAAAGCAATCGTTTTTTAATCTTTAAACAAATGATGAAAAAACTGCGAAAAACAATTTCTACGATTCTTTGTGTCTTCACATCCTTGAATCAATAGTGAAAATCGATACTTTCTTTCTCGAATACTTCTCCAAAGTTAATTACGTTTAGTATATTCTGTATATGTACGTTTGAAAAAATAAAATATCATAGAATTTAGTAGTAAAACATATAATTATATTAATAATCAAATGTTGCTAAATTATTTTTCATATTTCGATTATAAATTTTTTGTACAAGTAAATGTTTATATGCTGTCCAATCGACTTCACGTTGAAGTTTTTTCTGTAAATCTTCATCAGTTACATATGGTCGAACCTATGAGAGAAAAATATTCATATACAAAAAATAAAATCAAGTTGTTTGTATATTACTTCACGTCGTAAACGATCAAATAAAGGTTCTGGTGTCATTTTAATAAAAAAACTCTTACGTATTCGAATACATTCAGCACCATCAGAGACTAATGTAACACTAAGTGCGTTTTTTAATCGTCCGAAAACGACGCTCACCAAACCCTTGATAAAAATAAACGATCATTTATATTTCAAAGGAAAAATAAATCTACTTACAAAAACACTTTTTACACGAATTTGTTCGATTTCCGTATAACATTTACCTGGTTTAATCACTGGTCTAATCTATAAACAAAAAAAATCACATAATATTTAAAATTCATCTTTCATTTTACTTTATTAAATGTGCCTAATGCTTCCATACTGTATTGTGAAATACGTTTTGTACCAAAACTGTCATAAATAACTTCGGGTCTTTTTCTTGTTTTTAATTTTGGTGTCACTTGTGTTAATGATTTTATAACACGACAAGAACCTGTACGAATAACATAAATCCATTCATCTTCATTTGAATCTTTACACATTAGTGTTCCTATTCTAAAGAAAAATTATTCTAGTTGATTTGTTAAAAATTATTTTTTACCGATAATAAACAACTTGACAAATATTTGGATTATTATGTGGAATTTTATCAATAGGAAATCCACGAAACTATTCAATTGAAATAAATATTTTTAAAAAAATCGAATTCGTTCTTACTTCGGGTATTTGTCTTAGAAATGTTATAAAATCTGGTTCATTTTCTCTATCATTTGCCATAAATATTTTTATAAAATCTTCTTGTTCAATTGCAAGCATTGTCACATCAGTATGACAAGAAACTGTTGCTGTTCGTCTCTGTGCATTAATTAAAGCAACCTCCTATAATATATAAATATAAAAATCATAAGATAACAATAATTATTATTCTTACACCGAAAGAACTGCCTTTCTTAAGTGCAGCAACAAGTCTTGAACTAAATGTATGTGTTATCGGATTTTCTCGTAATTTGTAGACATCAGCTTTTAAAACAAGAATATAAAAGACAATGATAAAAAGATAGAATTTAACTTACTGATACCATCCACAACTAAATAAAATTTTTCTGCACGATGTCCTTCACGAAGAATTACACGACCTCTTTCAAATTCTTCTAAGATAGCGATACGTGCTAAAGCATATTGTCGTTGAAGTGGAAATTCTATAAATTCATATCGTAAAGTTTATATTTATTTAAAATCGCTGCAAAAGTGATGGCGAGGGAAAAAAATTCTTTCGATAAAATGTTTTTCGGCGAAGAGAAACACAACCGACTAGATGATTGTTTTGACAGTTTTCGAAAACAAGTTATATCTAGAAATTTTTCATTTCCGGTATTGATCAAATTTTTACTATAGTGCTTACTTCATTTAAGATATTTATGCTCATTCCAATTAGATATCGCCTTTCTTTTTTTATCTGAGTTGAAAAATAACCTGTAAATGATGAAATAGTTTGACCCAAACCAACAACAGCTAAACGAACTTCTTCTTCTGTTCTTGTTGCTGGATCAGATTTTAAAATCTTTCGAATATTTCTTCCAATTGTTTCCTAAATTATTCACTTATGAAAGTCAAACAAATATTATGATATACCTCAACCGGTCGTCGAAATTTACTAAGATCAAAGAGAATTTCTGAATTATTACATAGTTGTTCTCTATGATCACGCAATGATTCAATAGCATATTTTCTAACAATTAAACAAACACGAACAGCATGACGAACAAGTCGAAAGAATTTCCATAGTTTATTATGCAACTAAATTTGACAATAAATTCGTTATTTTTTCCCATAACCAAAAACTTACGTATTCTCGATTAACGGATGATTGTCTAGGTTTTGTTCGAACACCTAATGATATTTGTTGATATAACGAAGCTTGTGTTCCTGTTCTATGATATGAACCGGGTGTAGCACCGCGAGAAGACATTAAATTATACACAAAAAGAAAAGAAAAAGAAATGAATAAGATGACGTAGTTTTATATAATTATCTTGCAATAGCGAAGCAAGAGAAAAAATTAATCAAATAGAATTGAAATGGTTTCCTCTCACCATCATTGAAATTACTTTTAGGCAGACAACTAAAAAAAGAAAATAACCACTTGTGATTTAGAGAGAAATGTTTGATTTATTTATTAAAAATAAAAAAATAATAGACATAATATCATATTTTATTTTATTCACATAACAATGATTCATTATCGATGGATGATTGATCGCCAATTTCATCGTCTCTTAAAAAGAAGAAAAAAAGAGAAATTTAATTTTTTATTTCGCTAAAATAAATTTACAATAGTTGTGTTTGAAATACGACTGAATTCTTTTCATTGAATGATAATTGTGCACCTTCGCGTATATTTAATAAGTGTTCATTAAGAATAGCATTTTCATCAGAATTCTGCATATCCACTAAATAATAAAGCAAACTTTTTCTTAGACGAAACAATTCATTAAGACTAACATTCAGAATGATGTTGAGTAAAACCATTTACATTTTGTAAGGATCGATCATCGTCATTATCCGATATACTCGTATCTTTAGCAAATTCTAAATAGAACTATAATATAATACTATATATAATCAAAATGAAATATTTTACGTAAATTCACGGGGTTTGATGATTGATGAGACGAGGTCGTTTTTAGCGATGACATTGATCTATACAAATATTTAATAAAAATGAATAGTTCAAACTATATTCCATCTGCTATGATTAATTATTTAAATGAATCTATTTGAATAGAAATATTTTCTTTTGTATTTTTAATGAGTAAATTACAATATTTAATTGAAATTTTTTACGTTGTTTATTTTTGAATGTCACATTTCTCAAAAAAATAAATTATGTAAATTTTTACTATTTTTCTTTTAAAGTATTAAAAAAAATACGCATTTGCATATTTTTTGTTGAAACTAAACAAACATAAAAAGATCAGTTCATGTTTTATATTATTTTTAATAGGATATATGCTTAATTAACTTGAACAGTTCAATCTTTACTTACTCTATTGAAGCTTCTTGCCATTTGAGACCATCTCCTAAGGAAAATTCTAGTTTATTGAACTTTGAATCATCAAAATCTGGTATCTGACGATGAGTTTGAGGTTTTTTTCTAGTCGATAAATTATTCACCGTCTTGGTTTTATTACGATTAAAAGGTTTCACTGAATTTGCTTTTGATAAATTATTCACAGTCGGTAACATATGTACATTGGATGAGTTGTTATTTTCTATTGATTTCTGAACATATTTATTATTATCACTCGGTAATGTTGATTTTTTATTTTCCACCATCATTGTAGTTGATGATGAAGCGTTATGTATTGTTGACTTTGGAGATAGAGTGTGCTTTGGTATGGGTCTTGGTGATGGAGAACTTGCTGATCGTACTGTTGGCGATGCGATTTTTGTCATTGATTTAGCTGATGATGATGATGATGATGAGATTTTTGGAATTGCTTGAAATAATGAACGATGCCTGTCTGATCGTACTGTTGGTGATGCGGTTTTAGTGCTTGATTTAGTTGATGATGAACTTCTTGATCTTGCTGATGATGATGATGATGATGAGATTTTTGGGATTGATTGAAATAATGAACGATGTCTGTCTGATCTAACTGTTGGTGATGGAGTTTTCGTACTTGATTCAGTTGATGATGAACTTCTTGATGTTCCTGCTGATGATGAGATTTTTGGAATTGCTTGAAGTAATGAACGACGCCTGTCTGATCTTACTATTGGTAATGAGTTTTTCTTTGATGTTGAAGAATTTTTTCTTGATGATGTTGCTAATGGCTCCATTTTCGTATTCATAAGATCTGATTCTGATGGTGGGATTTGAATAGAAAGTGAAGATGAGAATAGTGATGATCTTGGTCGACTATGATTATCATTTTGAGATTTTGATCCATGCTGTGTTTCATCAAGTATTATAGAATGATTTGAAGTTGTATGTGATAAATTTTCAATAAATGATTTATTTGATGTTGAATTATTAAGATCAAGTAATGGAAGAATAGGTGATGGACTTTTTGGCTGTGGTTCAACTTCCGTAAAAAATTCATCATCATCTGTATGTCTTGAAGATGATGAATTGAGTCGTTGAGATTTATTGAATGAATTAGAAAAACTAAATGGAGAATTTCGTCGAGATATTGTTGTTACAGAATCCATCGAAACAATATTTGTAGACGAATGATGATCTTTGTCTGTTATAGCTGAATGACTATTTTCAGTTAAACGATTTAATTGATTAGCTATTTCAAGTTTTGATTTATCAACTATATCATCAAGAGCTAAGTTAAATCGAGCAATGGAATATTGATCCATAACATTTGATTGAATGTCTGTATTATGTTTCGATATTGTACTTGAATTGAATACAGTTGATGCTGAAAGGATAATAAGTTACTAAATGATTTAAATTTGTTAAATCCATACGTTGATCAAGTTTTTCTGAAGAAGTTGATGATGATCGTGATACATGTGATGATGAATCGATAATTGTTGCATGTTCATCATTGGATTTTGCAGCTAATACAGAACGTCTGAAATATTTTTATATGAAAATTTTTTTTTATTAAAAAAAAGAATAAATCTAATATACAAAGATTGTGGAAAAAGTGTTATTGATTCAGATTTCGAAGGTAAACAATCTTGCTTATTTGATGAATTCGTTAAAAATGAATGAGATTTTGATGATACATGAGTAATTGGTCGTTCGTGTTCAAAATCACTATTATTATTGTTGAAAATTTCCTCCGGAGTAATCGATTGCATTCTGAAAATAAACGAGATTAGAAATAGGCTTTTCTTAATCGCATGATTTCACCTTTCTTCTGTTCGTTCTTTTGCAAGATCGTTATCCGAATGCTAAACAAAACATGAAAATATTCTATAATAAAATTAAATTCTTAATTCACTTCGATATCAATTGTTTGACTAGGATATGAATGACGTATATTAATTTTGACATTTGCTTTGGGTTGTTGTTTAGGAATGTTTGTCTTTTTTGGTCGATGAATATAAGTTGCTTGATTATTTTTATCAATTATTCGATAGGTTTTAGTAAAAAGTTTTTCATTCGAAGATTTTCTTGATGAGTTTAAATCAATATTTGGTAATTTAATAGATGATTCAATTGGAACATTAATCGAAGTAATTGTTTCATGTTTTTGTGACAATCGTTTTGATTTATTATGGTCATTATGTTGAAATGAAACAGCATTTGTTTTCCCATTAAGTAAGTCATCTGATTTTTGCTTAGGTACTATCATTCTATAACGTCTAGGAGAAAGGTCATTTGCTTGTCTAGGTGATATTTCTATTGGATTCATATCAGCACTATGAGATTGTTTTTTCTTTTGTAATGTTGGTGATGAAATTCCACTTAGTAAAGCGTAATGATGACGTTGTAAAGCACCTCGAGAATGAAATTGATCAAAACAAATCGTACAATAGTTTTCATTACATTCAAGACAATTCTTAAAATTAAATTTTTCTATATATATTTCTAAGAAAAAAAAAGGCATAAATTATTTACTATCTCAGCTCCATCCTTTTCACATTGACCACATTCAGAATTTGATTGTATTACTAACGATTTAGTAGAAAATGAACGACCTGTAACTGAAGGTCAAAAAATGTTATTCAAAAATTCATTTTCTTTTTGATGTACCTGATGATCTATCACGTGGAGTATGACTAGCATTTTGTGAGATTCCTTTATTAGAATTAGAACGATTTGTTTCAATACTTTTAATAAAATAAGAAAGACATATTCTTTTTGTTATATAATTAAAATAGTAAAACATACGGCGGTTTTGCTTTATCATGTTGTATAGTTACTTTTAATTTATTTAAACCACCTTCAAGTGCTTTTGTTTTTCTTTCAACCAAATCATTATTTAATGCACTGAACAAAATTATGAAAATATAACAGGAAATAAAGGTTTAGCAAAAAATTCAATTACTGAGATTTTGTTTTATTTGTCATCGATGTTTGTATTGACTGTCGAGTAGCATTTTGTAAATTAGACATGATCTTGTACTTAATCAAATTTTAACTTGAAATTTGACAGAACCATCAGTACAGGTTGCCGTCTAGCAGCTGCCTCTTTCTGCACAATTAACATATGACAACAGATGCCGCGCATTCAAAGGTAAATTAACTTTATTTATTTATTTATTTATTTAAAAAAGATTATTTTATAAATTTCCTTAATCTTTATTTTGAAATATAAGTTAGTAGGATGAATCAAGATTATTATATGAAAAAATATATTAAATGAGAAAAAGAAAAAAGTCTTATTGTTCTGTGTACTTATGTTAATGATATTAAATGAGAAGAAGAAGAAAAAAATATGTCTAACTACATACATGAATTATTGTCTTTATCACAGCGTGTTGAATGCTTGGTTGATTTAAAGAAAAAGAAAGAAAACAATAGTTTATATAGTGTGTTATTTGATTGTTTTGTTTTCAATGTTTAATAGTATAGATAAGTTTAATATTACATTCATTTTTTCTGTTCACCATCAGCATGAGCTCCATATGGTGGTGGAAACATATCATTATTATATTCTGCTGATTGAGATTTTTCGTCTTCAACTTGTTTTTCGGCATTACCATCAACTTCAACTTCATATTGTTCTTCTTCGTTCATTGGTTGCCATCCAGCTGCATTATTATATTGATCATATACTTCTTGAAATGTATGTTCATAATGTTTATAATAATAATAGAAAGATAATGTGCAAGCACAACAAACACATAAACCGAATAGTAAAACAACGAATAAAACCATTACAATAATATAAATTGTTGTTTCATCAGTCAACATGTTCAAACTATCCATAAGTGAACCGACATAATTACGACATTCAATACTACCCAATTGACACCAGCATTGCATTTTATCTGATACTGTTCTCATAACTACACCTATAAAGATAAATAAAAATTAAATCATTTATATATATAAATTTCAGATTAGAACTAACCATGTGGGAAAGTGATGCCATTGTATACACAAGAATTTCTTGCGACTTCATATCCACATTGTGCACAACATTGACCATCTTTACGATATGGCATTGTATTATCGATACAATATGTTGGTAAACATTCAAGTAATTGACAACGAATAGCACGTGATTTTGTGCATTGACACATCGAACAGATTGAATTCATAAATGTTTGGCCATAAGGAAGAAATGAACCGTTGCTAAAACGGCACCAATGAGCACGTTCAAGTGCTGTGAGATTTCCTCCATCATCAATGGTAGTAGTAGTAGTACTAGCAGTAGTACTAGCAGCAGTACTTGATGAAGATGTTTCGTCCGAATCTGAATTATCGTTAACACCTGGTATAGGAGGAGTTACTGGTACCGTTGGTGGACAAGGAGGATCGAATGGATTCGAATCTGGATCGTTTGTGCAAGGTCGATTATGATGCTTATGACCAACAACATTAAGAATAAACACTGTAAGCAGAGCAGTGATTATCACTACACGTAATCCAGCCATTTTATTATTTCAGCAAGGCAATGAGTATAATTTCGCGTGTATGAATACAATGTAATATAATTGTAAAAAACGAAACGAATGTATCACTTTCTCCCTTCTACCCCAATCGTTACAGTCGTGCGTGTCCTTCACTTAGTTTCGTTTTTTTTTGCTTCGTTATTACTTTTCTTTTTTTGGACACAAATCAAAATAATTTGTTTCCTTTTTTTTTCTTTCTCATCATCATTTATTAGACTGGTCTGTATGGACGACTATGACTTGGTCCAAATTTATTTTTCTCTTATTAATATATGACGAAGAAGAAAAAAAACCAACGTTCTTTTTCTCTCATCGTTTTTTTTAATGTTATTTAGAAACATACTACGTCACACTCGACTGATTTGTTTGTACATCTACTCAATCTCTTATTTTTTTTCCTTCGCTATACACACAGATAGACGATTGTGCACCTGTAAAAAAAAGTATATATATATACGAAATAGAACCATGGTCGATAATTTTAACAATTTAAATTTTTCTTTTGAAAATCTATATGAAATAAGAAGTAGAAATGTGTTTTTTTTTCTTCAACGTATGACTGTTAAAATTTACGTAAAAAATGAAAAGAAAATACAACGAATGAATAGTAAATAAATCATCGAAATATGTCTTTTGAATTTTGATCTATTTATGTTCATAAAGTAAATCATAATGACCAGGTCGATAGAGCATTGTAATCATTGGTTTAAACGTATTTGGATTTTC